GAGGTTGAGGTCTCCTCATAAGAACCTGGACAACTGGGCCAGTCTTTTTTCAGAGATCTTGCCTTACTGATGTTTATTTGTCAAAATTTTTGTGATGATTTTGGTTTCTTTTTTTCTTACTTGCAACAGTAGAGATCTTCATGTATGAGCTACTGGTATAAAAGTTGTAAGGATACACTCTCATCCAGGCAACCATTCTTAAATTTCCAATTTAATCATTTAAACCTGAAGGATTAGTAACATCTAATTTCTCCAGACAATATCACTCCTGAATCATACATTAAGGTCATGAGAATTAAGGAAATGGTCATCAGGAAAGAAACCTTTCTATTGGCAAACAAATTCTCCTTGTCAGCACCTTAGGAAATGTATAAAGAACAGTATGGAGAATATACATACTGATGTTAGGGTGTAAAGGGTTAAAGAGTAGCCAGTCAGAAATCTTACCTTGCATATAGGGTTGAAATTTCCCTTCTAATCAGAAGACAAAGTCTGCTGATTAAGCTTGCCACATCATCAGACTCAACTGAAGAGTTTGTTCAGAAGAAAGAGTGGGCTTACAAATATTAGTATAATTCTACCATTGTCCTATCACAAACAATGAAAACTAATTGACTATGCTGCATACTATCTGGAATTTACAAGGAGAATTTGTGTGATAATCAGGAGCTTCTAGAATTGGACATCATTTCCTTAATTCTCGTGATTCTAAATATTTGATTCAAGGGTGAAACTGTCAGGAGAAATTAGAAGCCAGTCACTCTAAGGGGAAAGGGGGTTAAGACAGTCCAGTATCAATGGTTCATCTCTCCTCACTTTTACTGACAGTCTGATATCAAGTACTTATCTCCCTCATGCTGTCCAGTCAAACAAAAGACCAAGTTACTTTTGCTGCAATGGAAAAGTTAAAGGCTTATGAGTTAACAAATAGAGAACATTCAACAAGCCAGCGTAAAGGCTAAAAAAGCTGATGTTTTGAGCATTAGCCCTTCATCAGAGCAATTGGAGGAATTTTGGGTTGTGTGTGGGTTTATATGTGGAACTACACTATTGTTCCATCACCATATTCTCACCAATAGCATAGCTCCACTTTCTGCAAACTTCCAGGTGTGGGCCCAAAAATGGTGAATATTACCATGAATGTGGCTTGGGGACAAATGATTGGAATTGGAGTTGATACTCATGTTCATAGAATTTTTAACAGACTGGGATGGGTCAAAAAACGTACTAAACTGCCAGAGGAAACTAGAATTGCTGTAAAAACCTGGTGAAAAGTGATTTTGAATGATGCCAAGTTACACAAATTCTCTTCACCAGGTGTTTTGCTCCTTCCTTGCCAAAGCCTCTTCACTTACTGCCACATTTTAGAGACCCAGCTATTGTGCAAGTTCCAAACAACTTTTACAAATATTCTGAAATAAACAGGCTTTTGGTCCTTCCTGACTTTCAAGGAGCAGAATGCAAAAAGGAAAACTTTAAGGACTTTCAGACCTAGGTTCAAGATTCTCTAGATGCATAGCAAATCTTGACTATCATATGCTGTTTACCCATAACCAACAATTAAATAATTAGAGTGTATGGTTTCAGAGACTAAATTAGTGGATTCTTTTTCTGTTTTGCAGAGAGGAGTGGGATGAACTGAATGTATTGTTGGTTGGATTTGGTCAACAGACATGTCTTCCTGTAAGTCCAATGCACAAGTTCTGTCTTAACTCCAAGATCTGTCCTGAAGGTCGAAGAAAGAGCAGAGGAAAAGCTGAGGAGGAAACTAAGAAAAAACTTTCACCCAGAAAGGATAGAAAGGACACTAAGACTTAAGGGGAAATTAAGTTTTACTTAAACATAGGCTGTCCTTGTCTTTAGCCTTGGGCCATGCATGTTGTGCAAAGCTGTGTTAAGGTAGCCTCATGGTTAGTGTGAAATCTGATATCAGATCTTATTACCCTCTAACTCCCAGAAGTGATTCACATGTAACTTCTCCTAACAATATCCGTGCACTATCCAGCAAACAGGTAATGAGAAGGTAGAAGTTGTTATCTTGATCTAACACCAAATTCTCGCAACTAATTTACAAGGAAATGTTAAGCAGGTAGAGGAGGAAATTAATAATCAGATCTTGGGAGTTCTAGGGTTAAAGCCATATAAGAAAATTCATTACAATTTGTTTGTCTACGATTTGATGATTGGATGCCTTTTAAAGAATAAAGAAAATTATTCAAAGAAGGCTTTTTAACAAAGCAGTAAGGAAACCTGGATTAAAATTTAACCCTGAGTTAGCACTAATCAGCCTTCCAACAACTGAGCCCTGGTTAGCATTGGTCCTCAAACCATGTTTCAAGACTGGTTCCAACTGTGTAAAACAAATGTACAGGTTCATGATACAATGGATAAAAGGGGAGATGGAAGCAAAATCAAAGACTGTAAGACCTAGGTAACAAGATGCTCTTTTTGTGAAAAATTTTTTAATAAGTAGCACCCCTTCCTTGAAGGGAGAGATCTGCCATTGAATTTGATTTAGAAATTAGTTTATACTTAAACGGTGGATGGCAAGGAAGGCGCGCTCTGATTGGCTATTCAAACTCCTTTGCTATTCGCCTCGCAAAGCTATTCACAATTATCTATAAGACCCCAACAGCCTACCCAACAGGGTCTACCGCCGGGTTCAGGGCAACACCCCCCTGTATCTCCAGCAACAGAGACTAAAGACCCCCCTCCGAAACCCAATGTCTCCATAGCGGTGGCTCCAAGCGGTATCGTTTTGTAGTGGTATATGGCTCTTGAGGAGAGACACGCGCCTATATCAACTGTGACTTCAAGGTTTGCTTTTGATCGCTTCACTTTGTTTTGGTCTCTTGGTGTCTTGAAACAGGATTAGACATAATGGTCTGTTTATAATGTGTGACATCTGTTCCTGGGGTGCTAATGAAACATCACCATTGGAAGGAAAGGTTTAAAATTTCATTTCAAGTTGAAGAAAGCGATTTCGTGTCGATATTTAAAACCTAGCGCAAGACTAAATTATGTGTCAATACATTATTATGCTAATAATATATCAATGGATTTCAGTCACCTTCGCAGCTGTTTTGGTTGTAATGCCACGCAGCACTGGGCGTTACATGACAACTTGAGTTGCCATTGCAAATTCTATAAAGGCTACAATAGTTAGTGCCCAGATCTCTTCGTCGAGTTCCTTGCATCTTTGAAGGTGAACTATGGTGACTATAGCAGTTTTGTTCAGTTATGCCTTACTTTCATCTCAGAAAAATTTAGGTAAGGCTGAGAAGTCCAGGGACCCCAGTGCGGACCATCCCTTGCATTGAGATTAACCTCGCCACATTGGTTTGCCCACCATGCACCATAAGGAAAACACTTGCCAGGGTGATTGTCATTATCTTGGTCTGGTGTGCCGAATTTCATCCCTCGGATGTTCAATTTAGGATCTGTATTTCCATAAAACCCATTTCCGATGTTTCCTTCGTACGAACTCATGTCGCATCGATACTTTTCTGTTTCGTCAGCTACCCGAAACCCACCATATTTGGCATATCCCTTTTGGCCGTTGGTTCGGTGCAGATCTATTCGAAGAATGCTGTCTGAAGAGGCGATTCGGTGCAAGTTGTAGTTTCCAAGCCAGAATTCTTTGGACAAGTCGCCAAAGCCTACTCGATACTCTACCCACGTTCGTTCAAAGCTTTGCTTGTATGGACGGGAACGTCTCTGAACCACAGTCCACCCACCTCCATCTGTGGTTTGGTCACAGTACACGTTTATGACCCCTTGACCATCTGGGTTGATTTTATAAATGCCATTCTGATTCGCTCCCAGGGTTTTCAGCTGCTGACAGCTTCTCACTGTACGTGGAACAAAGGAAACATAATATGAGACTTGTTGCTGAAAGGAAATTATCGCAAATTTAAGTGTTCTTCTCTTCTATTTAGTCACGAGTTACCCACCTCCGCTGTGCCTTACTTTCATCTCAGAGATATTTAGGTAAGGCTGAGAAGTCCAGGGACCCCAGTGCGGACCACTCCTTGCATTGAGATTAACCTCGCCACATTGGTTTGCCCACCATGCACCATAAGG